GCTGTGTCCTGGAGACTGTACAACTACACCTATGGGCAACTTGCTCTCTGGCTTTGGTTGGGGCCAGTGGGTGTTTTCCTTGTGGTCACCTCAGGCTGGCTACATATATCAACTGAAGGTCAAAAATTGGCCGTCTCTCCTTCCCTTCCCTCCTCCTATCCCTTCAGGGAGAGAAGTGGTAACTAATAGCTTCTGGTAGACTATTCTTTTGTGGTTTCCTTACACCCTGCTTTGGCCTATGTAAATGATCCTTTTATTAAATCCCCTTAGAATGATCCTAATTTGTGTGTGCCATCTGTTTCCTGCTGACAGGACCCCTATCTGTAAATAATGATTTTAATAACTCTGAATTCCATTAGTGCCTTGCTACTCAAATGTGGCCAAGGGCCAGCAGCATACCATCATCTGGGAGACTCTAAGAAACTCAGACCTTCTGATTTTTGATTAGCATTTTAAAATGATTCCCTGGTGATTCCTACACACATTAAAGTCTCAGCAGCAGGCATTAGAGTATTCTGAGTTTTACTGAAGCTCTTTTGGGTCCAAGAAACCCAAAGACTCATTTAGACTGACTCAGACAATGGAGTCTTACAGACCAGCTGAGGCAGATAAACTTGCACAGAAACCTGAGGATAGGATCCAGGAGAATATGATGGCTCACGGAGATGAAGCCCAGAGGGTCAGTGTGGACCTCGGAGACTTCACAAGGGGAGTCTGCAGGCCTCTGTTGCTCCAGCCTGAGCGCAACACTCTCCATGCACGCTTCCTGTTCCATGACCAAGTGAATCCCTCACCATTTACTCTTTATTTTGCCAGAGTTCCTGTTCACTTCCAGCTTTGCCTAACTTCTAATCTGAGCTCACTTATGCCCAAGATGTGCTCCTCTGTCTCATAACCTTGTATTACTGACTACCCAAATTTCAGCTTCAGAGAATAAGGACATTATTTGCCCAATTTGTCCCTGTTTGAGCAGAGGTTTTGTGCCAGCCTCTCTAACAGGCTAATGGCCAGCTTTTGGGTTGGCTGCCAATTTCTAATCCAGCAGACGCTGGGTAATATGGTATAAAATGTCTGCCCTGGGCTGTATAATCAGCAGGGACTGTGGAAGAAAATCACACTATGATTACATATCACGTTAAAATGGTCTTAAAATATATGAAACAGGGTTTTCAAATCTTGGTTGTAGGCTCTTTCCCCTTTATCAACACCACCACCCCCAGCCCTGCCTTCCTCCCCACACTTCCCTGGAACATCTGCATCCTCTGGCAGACTGTGACAATCACGGAGACGACTTTCATGTTCAGGATATTGCAAATATTGTATAATAAAATTAATTACATTTAATTAAACTTACCCATTTTTTATAGCCCCAAACAAATCTAAAATGCCATGTTAAGCTTATGAGATGGCAGTCCTCCAAAGCACTCTGCTGCTGAGTGTGTCTGCTCAGAGACTTATGTGTCTTAGGGATCATTTTACACGAGTGAATCTGAAGAATGGCCTCTGGGCCTCAGCTAGGCATCAAATAAGAATGCTAGTCTCTGTGTCACAGGCCAAGAAACTACTACCCATGTCCTCCATCCATCTCACAATCCAGTAACAGCTCTTTCATTCAAACAGCAATCTTCCTTTTCCTGCCTGCTCTTTTCATAATGCACTGATATTATGAATTTTCTTCTCTCCTTCCCCCACTACATGGCAGCAGGGGAGGGCACTGCTCTATTTCTCATGAGTGTAAGGCTTGGTACGTGGTAGTTGCTGGACTAACATTTGTGGAATGAATGAATGAAGGCTCTTGCTCATTGGTCAAGTGCTTATCTCACCTTATCCTGTGAAGAACCCCAAGTCTCAGTGGATTTCTTGCTCCATAAGACTTAGAGGGGACTGTAGGTCTCTTTCATGTATCTTCTCACCTTGTGCCCAGCCTGAAGCAATATCCTCTCTGGTCCATGCTCGTATCAAGGTAGAAAAGAAGAGAGCAAGAGGGCTGATGGAAGCATCAGCTCACCTTAAAGCCTCTGCTTATAACGGGTACACAGTCCCTTTCACTGCACTCCATGGGCTAAAGTCAGTCACATGGAAAGCCCAACATAAGCAGACTGGAAAAATCAAGCTCTTCTGCTGAACAACAACGCCCAAGCTTTCTACTGATACTATTCTGATGTTCAAATTCATTTTCAAATCAGCAAACTAACCCGCCCTCCCAACCCGCCCCCCCCCTCCCCCACCACACACAACATATATAGTCAGGGTTCATTCAGTTCTAGGAACAAATGCAATTCAAAGTAGTTTATGCAAAAAAGAAACTTACTGATCCACAACTAGGAAGTACAAGGAGTAAAAGCAGCTGAAGCCAAAGGGTTCAGAAACGCTCATCTAGGGCTCTCTCTCCATGTCTCCACTTTGCGTCCCTCAGGGTGTTGGTCATTTCCCCCAGCTTCTCAGAAGTAGCCTCCACCTGACCAGAAAAAAATGGATGCCAAAGGTTCCAGATCCATGTCCTCCCTTTTTAGGAACTTCCCATTGGGTAAGGAATTCCTCTTTCAAATTCTACACTTTACTCTCAAGGAAAGAGTCTTTTTATGTCTTTACCTGAGTATTATACCCACGTCTGAGCCAATCTTTGTGTCTAGGAAATGGCATGGCCAGTTGGATTTAAATAATATGCCCCCAACTCCACCACAGCTCTAAAACAGCAACAATTTAGCCCACCGAAATATATATTTGTTACCTGAGTTTTCAGTCAGTGCTTTTCTGATGTTTTAAGCAGTTTTCAAAATTCAGCTAACTAAAATTCCCTCAGTGTATATATTAGTCAGAATCTAATCACGTCTAGGGACAGAATATAACTCAAACTAGTTTACAAGCCAAAGGCCCAGCAATATATTTATTTAATGAGTGTACATAAAAATTGCTTATTTGGATTAGAAAAAAAATCTAAAACTGCATAGTGAATTCAATGGTAAACCCTTAGTTTATGTACTCCTGCATCTTTCTGTCTTCTGAAAATATTCAAGAGATCCTGCACCAGAAACCTTAATTTCAAAATCTTTCCAGGTTGTTATACCCCAAATTCCTTTCCCATTTGTTTTCTTCATTATGGCCATTCTTGCCCATTACAGCCATTTCATCCAGTTCTCATTTCCACCATTCCATGTCCTTCCCACCAGAGGAAACGAAGCAATGCACTTTAAAAACCTATCTTGATTTTTTACTGCCCATTCTAAATTCAATAAGCCCAGCTTCCCTGGTGGCTCAGAGGGTAAAGTGTCTATCTGCAATGTGGGAGACCTGGGTTCGAGCCCTGGGTCGGGAAGATCCCCTGGAAAAGGAAATGGCAACCCACTCCAGTACTCTTGCCTGGGAAATCCCATGGATAGAGGGGCCTGGTGGGTCCACGGGGTCGCAAAGAATCAGACACGACTAGAGTGACTTCAGTTTACTGAACCCATTATAATGCAGGTGCTGTGCAAGGCTCTGTGCATACAGAGGAGAGATAACACAGTCCTGCTCTCAAGAAACCTGTCATATAACAGATGGAACAGGCCTATAAGCAAATGTCTGCAACATTAAATAATAAGCACTGCAACAGGCATAAGAAACATGCTCAGATCAGTGCTATGAAGAGAATGCTGACGATGTGGAAGGTTGGCCTAGAGAAATGCAAGGCAGGAAGCACAATGACCAGTTAGGAGACCACTGCAGAAATTTGAACAGGTCATGATGAGAATCTGAACTCTGCCTGAAAGTAGAAGCTGTAAAGATGGAGAAAAAACAATGGCAGTACTAGAGTCATTATGAAGAAGAATTAACCATGAACCAGCAAAGTGAAGGGTGGGGAAAGGGAGAAGCTGAGGAGTCATCAAGTTTCTCATTTCGATGCCTGAAGGATGTTAGTATCACTCATGAGGATGTCAAGTACGAAATGAGAAAACTTTCAGAGACAAATATGGACTTAGGCTGAGATGGAAGTGTTTATGGATATTCCCTTTTGTGAATTCAGGAATCATTTGTACCAGTAACCAAAAATTATCTTTGTGTATGGAGTGGAAAGTAGGAAAGAGAGAAGACAAGGAGAAGGTGACAAATTTGTGATCAAATCAGTGGTGTCGTGCCAAGGCACAGATTTCTTTCCCTGTGAAGAGTTTGCCAGTCATTTGTAACCAAAAGAGAATCTGTCTTGTTCTACTCATAATCAGCAACTGGCTCTGGGCTGGGATCTGTGGAGCATCCTCAACAAGGCACTTGTAAAGGACCTATAGCATACAAGGTGCTCACTAACAGATCTGGTTTTAGATAACAGTCTTCAGATTCAGGACTTCTATTTATAAATGGCTACCCAGTCTGCAAGTGTAAGTTAAAAGATATCTTTAGGAAAGCTAATTTAAGAATATGCAAGATTCACTGTTTCAGGAATTGGCCAAGTATTTTAATCTTAAAAGCCTCCCCTTGAGAATCTCTCATATTTCTGGATACAATGAAAACATGAATATTTTATTTTATAGGAAATATGTTTATTATTGATGATGGCAATTCAAAAATATTCATTTTTTCTCAGGATTGGTCTGTCATACTCTTTAGAGATATTAAATATATCAAAATTGTGAGAAATTTTGTTTAATATCACAGAAAAACTTGTGTATGGTAAGCAAGACAGGCACTTCTAACAATGAAACAAAGTCTTCAGAACTTGCCAGTGAAACACAGGAAGCATTTCCAACGATAGATGTAGGAACCCATGGATAGAATCTAACAGAGCACATACTGGAAAACAGGATCAGGAAATTTTATAATCCACTGTCACCGTGTGTTTCCTCTGGGATGCTTCAAGCACAGCCTGTGAAAGGGCTTAGCGATGTGACCACTCCTGTCTGAAGAACGGGTCCTCTGGACATGGGACTCATGCTATTTAAATGTCCCCAAACCTACTGCTTTTTTCAACTTCTTGTCCACATAATCATGACTAGAGGTTTAAAGGAGAAGACAAGAGCAGGAACGATTTAGCTTTGACTTTTGAGAAGATGTAACACCAGCTCTTCGTCCTCAGCTAACGACAGGCCTGTATCCAAAGGTTCTAAGGTTTCCCACTTGGTTTTCTTTCTGTCACGACTTGCTGGTCCCACGTCTTCTACTTCACTGTTGTTCCTTTTCCTCATTGTCTGCTTCTTCTTGGTATCACTGGTGGAAACAAATCCAATGATTTACTTTATAAATAACTGAATTCATTATTATGAAATTAAACATTTAAAATAGGACAAAATTACCAATAACAGATACTTGACAAAGTGGTATTATTATTCAAGAAGAAAAGAAGCTATAATAACATCAGGCTATCTGTGTCATAAATAAGTACCTTCCCATTCATTAACAGATGTGGGCAAAGGGCCTATCACATACCAGGCACAGGGCAGGGTACATCGGACACATGGTCTCATCTAATCCTCACAATAATTCTAGGAGCTCTGGATACAGCATCCACAATTTGAGGACACCAACTGGCCCAGAGTCTGGCTCCAGACTGGCTCCAATCTGTGCTTGTCCTGCCATATCAAACCATCTCTATCTAAAGTTAGTTTATCCTTTAGGTAATATCTCTTGCATCAATTCATGATATATGGATCAAATAAAATAGAACATGAAATGTTAAGTTAAAAATTACTTAAGACAAAAAGTAATTCTGCCCCATTTAAATCTGTATCTAAGATTCACAGTCGGGATGGGGAATACATGTAACTCCATGGCTGATTCATGTCAATGTATGACAAAACCCACTGCAATGTTGTGAAGTAATTAGCCTCCAACTAATAAAAATAAATGAAAAAAAAAAGAAAACATAAACATTACTGTAGTATTCTGCACACACTTGATATACAGACCATAAAAATAAAACTAATTTCTGAAGGTAGAGAAAATCACTTGATACATGAAAAACTGAAGAAAAAGTAAAATATCCTCAAGGAATTTGACATACCATCATCCATCATCATGTTCAAAGATGACCAAATTACTGGACACAAGTTTAAAAATCCACCTGGTAGCTATGCCAGTAGCAGCTGTTTATTAAGGGCTTACCAATGGTCTGGCATTGTGCTACATGCTTTACATAGACTACAACATCCATCTTCATGAAAATCCTTGGTGTGGGGAGCACTGGCCTCATTCTACAATGAGGCTAAGAGAGGTTAAATGACTGAACCCATATTATGTGCATGATCTTCAAACCCACATCTGAATGACTCTAAATTCAGCCCCAAAGCCAGATGATGGAAAGAAAAATATATTCCAAGCCTAAGATGCATCTCAAAAGACAACAAACTGCTCCAGTCCCAAACAACTCTACTATACCTTAAGAAGACAGCTGCGATATCAAGTGAATGTGCCTAATCAGCATATCCAGTTCTGACCAGCGTGAAGGAAATCTGTAAACAATTTTCCCATGCACCTCCCACAAATGCCCAATACTCTGACTCAGCAGCCATCCTCTCTCACCATTGGAGGAAAGATACACTAGACAACACTATGAGGTTATTTAAAGCCACAAATAACCATATTTTAAAAGGGTGGGTACCTACAGAGATGAACATGACAGTTCCTTATAATGAGAGTTCAGTCAGTAAAGAAAAGAAAGCTGTTCTTAGCGGAAAGAGGACTTTAAGAAAAAGTACCGAGTCCTGATCTTCTTGAGTATGGCCAGTTTGGTGCCAATTCCACCGGACTAGAGTACCATGCCTGGAAAATCCCATGGATGGAGGAGCCTGGTAGGCTGTGGTCCACAGGGTCGCGAAGAGTCGGACACGACTGAGCGACTTCACTTTCACGCATTGGAGAAGGAAATGGCAACCCACTCCTGTGTTCTTGCCTGGAGAATCCCAGGGACAGGGGAGCCTGGTGGGCTGCCATCTATGGGGTCGCACAGAGTCGGACACGACTGAAGTGACTTAGCAGCAGCAGCAGAGTACCATGATTTATTTGGAACAAGTTGATACTGATTTCTGCTCTGCCTGTACCTAAAGTGCATCTCGGAGCAGCCTAATTAGTGAGTTTTACTTATGCATCCTTTGTTAATGTGCTCCTCACATTATATTCTGTACAGGAAATAGCTGGTTCAGAAAATTTTTTAAAAAGGTGGAAAATTTATGTAGATGGAAAATATTTTCAGAATTAGCAACTTTGCTGCTTTGTGGACCAGTTAAATTTTAAAAAGATATTATATACTACTTTCCATAGCAAGTAAGTGGCAATTGGTATGAAAAATTAATTATTAAATAATAATTTACATATTCTATAGGTAAGCTACCCATGCAGATGATACCACTATAATGGCAGAAAGTGAAGAGGAACTAAACAGTCTCTTGATGGGTGAAGGAGGAGAGTGAAAGGCTTAAAACTAAATATGAAAAAAACTAAGATGGCATCCAGCCCCATTACTTCGTGGCAAATAGAGGGGAAAAGGTGCAAGTAGGGACAGATTTCCTCTTCTTGGGTTCTAAAATCACTGAGGATGGTGACTGTAGTCATGAAATCAGAAGACAATTACTTCTTGGCAGGAAAGCTATGGCACTTAGATAGTGTGTTGAAAAGCAGAGATATTACTCTGCTGACAAAGGTCCGTATAGTCAAGCCATGGTCTTCCCAGTGGTCACATACAGGTGTGAGAGCTGGACCATAAAGAAGGCAGAGCACCAAAGAATTGATGCCTTCAAAACTGTGGTGCTGGAGAAGACTCCCAAGAGTCCCTTGGATAGCAAGGAGATCAAACCAGTCGATCTTAAGAGAAATCAACCCTGAATACTTGTTGGAAGGACTGATGCTCAAGCTGAAGCTCGAATATTTTGGTCATCTGATGTGAACAGCTGACTCATTGGAAAAGTCCCTGATACTGGGAAAGATTGAGGGCAGAAGGAGAAGAGGGCATCAGAGGATGAGATGGCTGGATGGCATCACTGATGCAAGGTACATGAACCTGGGCAAACTTTGGGAGGTGGTGAGGGACACGGAGGCCTGGCGTGCTGCGTCTGTGGGGTCACAAAGAGTCGGGCGTGACTGGGTGACTGAACAACAACTCACCCCAAAGGGGGATAATGTGATGAGTCTAGAAGACATTTCCCCAAAGAGAACAATGTCATAAATCTGGAAATGTTTAGTTAAAACATGGTCATAATTTGGTATCTTCAGAAAAGGACTCTTCCAAACGGTGCAGCACTACAGGGTGATGTCAGCAACATGGCTAAATGAGATATCCTCACTCATGTCCCCACCCAACAACAACGACCTGGCATCCATCCATGGACAAAAGTGCCTTTGCAGAGGCTGTGGGATCTAGCACTACACACCAAAAGACCCTAGAGAAGTGTCACCCAATCATGTGTGGTTAAGAGGCACACAGACCCCAATCCTAGCTGTGAATCCTGCAGTGGACCACAAACCACAGCTCTAGGCCTTCTTGGCAGTGGAATAACAATGACTTGGCAGTCTGAGACAATCACCCACAGACAAGGGAGACTTTATTTAAGTCCAGGTCTCCTGCAGAGAAGTTTCAGCATACCAATGCAGAAAAAAAAAAATATGAGTTTGGACACATTGGAGAGGGTAAATGAAAACAGTTTGATTTTATTCACATCAATCCTTCCCCAAGGTGGCATAGTTCAGGGCCAAGACAGATCTTGGCCTGTGATTCTTTCCATGAAGGAAAGTGAGAGCCTGTGAGTGAGTGCTTGACTTCCCCAACTATATGAAATTCCTTTTCCATTTCTCTCTCACCCTATCCAGAGTACTAAATCATGAGCTCCATGGGGTGGCGGGAGAAGAGGCTAGGTAGATAGGACTCTCAGAGGGAGTTAAAAGGACATGAATCCTACCAACTACATCTTGAATTCCACCCAGACGCCTGCCCATGAACTGCTGGAGATGCCTTGCAAGTAGATATCTCCAACTGGCCCATGGGCACCCCCAGAGCTCCATGTACCTCACCCACACCCACCCCTGTCCTGCCTGTGTCCAGTTCCCTGTAAGTGTTCCTGATGCTAGTGGTGAGAGTGAGCTTTGGCAGGTAGCTAATAAGCATGAACCAAATCTGTGGGTCAGGGACAGGCCATAAACTTCAGCTTTGGTATCACCCATGGGAAAACAACAAGGAAGCTATCAGTATTCAGCCTCATAAATTGCAGAATCAAGAGAAGGGACACAAGCTTAATAATTCTGCCTTAAAAGAGAGCAAGAAGCACAGAGTAGACATATCTAAGGAAAGCCTGAGAAAGCCTCAGAATCCCTAGAAAGGCCGACAGAACGTATTTCTCTCCTGAAGGCAGTTAGTAAAGACTGGAGGAGATGACTGCTATTGCAAATGTGAGGACAGCAACACAAAACTTGAAATATGAAAAATCAAGGAAACATGACACCACCAAAAGGATCACAATAATCTCCTAAGAAACAGTCACAAAGACATGAAGACCTACAATTTACTGGATAAAGAATTCAAAATAGCTGTTTTAAGGAAGCTCAATAAGGTATAAGAAAACACAGAAAGAAAACTCAATAAAACCAGGAATTCAATATACAAACAAAATGAGGAATCTAACAAAGAGACAGAAACCATAAAAAAAAAAATTACCAAATAGAAATTCTGGAATTGAATAATACAACGAATGACATGAAAATCTCAAAAGAGAGGCTTGACAGCAAATGGATTAAAGGAAAGAAAGAACCGGTGATTTAGAAGACAGGAATTTTTACATTATCTAGTCAGGGGAGAACAAAGAAAAAACATCAAAGGAAATAATTTGTGAATTATTGGTGGCTCAGTGTTAAAGAAGCCACCTGTCAATGCAGGAGATGTAGGTTCGATCCCTGGATTGGGAAGATCCCCTGGGGGATGAAATAGCAACTGGCTCTAGTATTCTTGCCTGGAAAATGCCATGGAGAGAGGAGCCTGGAAAGCTACAGTCCGTGGGGTCACAAAGAGTTGGACACAAATGAGCACACACACACAAAGAGGAAGGGATGACAAAACTTGTTTTTCTTTTTAAATTACAGCTGAGAAATTCCCTAATCTACGGAAAGATTTGTACACCTAAGTTCATGAAGCTCAAGGATGTTCAAACAAATTTGACTTAAAGAAATCTTCTATAAGACATTTAATAATACAACTGTCAAAAATTAAGGGAAAATACTGAAACTTA